GCTGATACGTTTCGTACGTACTTTAGTTGCATTTTTTATCGCGTTATCAACCGGCGGTACGATGTCTAATCACTTTAATTAGATACTGTGTACCATATCTGAAAGTACGTGTAATTACAATAACAACGGAAAATTATCACTAGAGATGCGCCGAATAGTAGTTCTACCGAATAACCGAATACCGAATACTATTCGGTTCAATCTTTACCGAACCGAATATTCGGCCGAATTATTCGGTTTACCATTTCACTGCACTCCCGCATAAACAGGTTCAAACATGCACGCCACTTGTCGCCGCTGGCAGTTGCGAGCGAGTCGTACCTCGCCGCCCGCCACCCGCGCACACATTGCGCGTCACTTTGCTCTAAAACATTGCACGAGTAAGTTGTTAATAAATTAAAATATAAACTTTTTCGTGTTTGCAATATGAGTGGGCGTAAAAGATCACGTGCTTGGGACTTTTTTGACGAAATGGAAGATGACAAAACCAAAGTTAAGTGCACTTTGTGTAGTTCTGTTATTTCTCGCGGTGGAACAGGGCGCACTGCTTCAACGAGTGGAATGACAAATCATTTGAAGTTGAAGCATAAAGATCAATTGCCAGAAACATCGTCTACTTCTGTGAGCGCTCCTGAACATAGCTTTGACACTTTACCTACAACTTCGAGTGTAAAATCCAATAAACAACAAACTTTAGAGGAGGCTTTTGTTACGAAATGGGATATTAATGATTCTCGAGCAAAAGAAATTCATAATGCCATCGCTGAAATGATCGCAACCGACAATCAACCTATTTCGATTCTGGAAAACAAAGGCTTTGACAGATTATTGCATTTATTGAAGCCTAAATATAAGTTGCCTGGAAGAAAGTATATGAGTGAAGTGGTGATTCCGGCAATTTATGAGAGAGTTAAAAAGTTAATCAAAGATGAAATCTCAAAGGCCAATGCTGTTTCGATTACATCTGATATGTGGACTTGCATGAACAACATGCTTTGCTTTCTAAGCTTTACTGCACACTGGCTTAATGAGGATTTTATTCTTCAACACAGAGTTCTGCAAATGAAACATTTTGTTGGGTCCCATTCAGGTAATCAAATACGTTCTGTATTAGAAGAATTAGCTTCAACTTGGGGCATATCTTCGCTTATCCATGTGATCGTGAGAGATAACGGTCCTAATATGGTAAAAGCCATAAAGGAAAGTGCATTTGAAGGCAAGGGGTGTTTTATACATACATTGCAGTTGGCCATTAAAGCGGCATTAGAGGTTGAAAACGTAAGTGACGCTTTGATCTCCGCTCGAAGAATAGTAACACACTTCAACCACTCCAGCACGGCGCAACAAAAACTAAAAGATATCCAGAAAGAACTTCATCTAACTGAGCATCAGCTTGTCCAGGACGTCACAACTAGATGGAACAGCACCTATTATATGTTGGAAAGAGTCGTTGAACAAAAACGTGCGATTTCGCTTTATATTTCTGACAATTCTGGCTCAGTTAACATTCGAAATTGTACTGAAAGACAGTGGCAGATTCTCAAAGAATGTTTAATTCTATTAAAACCTTTTGAAGAAATCACCAAAATTACAAGTTCTACATTTTCTACAATTTCAGAAGTGATTCCCCACAGTAACACTCTGATCAAATATTTAACAAAACCCGAAATTTCAGAAATATGTTCAAATATACCAGAAATGGTACAAAAACGAAGAGAAGAAGTTCAGTGTCGTTTTAAAAATTTGGAAGAAGACAAATACTACTGCCTTTCAACATTATTGGATCCCCGATTTAGAACGAGATTTTTTGCCCAAGAAAATTATGAACTGGTGAGAAGAAAGCTTTTTCTAGAAGCGATACAAAGAAGCGACCTTGATGCGGAAAGCTCAAGCGAAGATGAAGCTACAAACAGAGGAAGACCTCCACAAAATGTTTCAAATTTTTTAGAGGAATCTCATGTGACATTTTGGAATTGTTATGAAGAACTTGCCTCGACGAATCCTGTCATTTCGGAAGATCCTAAAAGCCCAATTGCCGTGGAATTGAACAATTATGAATCTGAAAGTTTACTACCAAGAAACCAGAGCCCTTTTGATTGATGGGCAAAGCATAAGTCAAAATATGCACATTTAGCCAATTTAGCTAGAGTGTTTCTAAGTGCTCCTGGTAGTAGTGTTTACAGTGAACGATTATTTTCGGAAGCAGAGAACCTGTATGAAGAAAAACGAAATAGACTCTTACCGGAGAGGGCAGAGAGCTTGGTGTTTCTGCACCATAATTTACCTTTAATAAATTATAAATATTAGATATACCTATGAATATGTTCCTTTTTGCCTGTGTTCTATTTTACTTGTGATTTCTATTATTTTTAAGGTATTACTGTTACAGTCCCTATTATTGATTAATATTAATATTTTAATTTATAATAACTTGCCAAGTAAGTGTGTTTATTTAAATTTTAAAATGTTGATCTCAGTTTGAAAAATAAAAGTTTATATAGAGTTATAAAAATTTAAGTTTATATACAAAAAGATATAAGAATTAGTTATGTTTAATAATAAATAGTGAAATGAATATTGAGCTACGGCTTAAAAATATATGTTGAGTTAAGTTTTAAAATGATTGTTAACTATTACTAATTACTATAGGTCAAGAAATAAATATGTTGACTTAATATGTTAAAATACATTTTAATAGCAAGTTTAATAATTGTTTTCATTTAGGTATTAGATTTTTATTATGCTCCTTTGCAAATTTTATGAACAAAATAAATCTTATATAAGAAGCTTGTCTTTCAGTTCTATTCCATGCCATGTATGATGTAGCCAATAAAATAGAAATACTCAAACCGAATATATTCGGCACTAAAACCGAATAATTCGGCCGAAAACGAATAGTGGCAAAAATGCCGAATATGCCGAATACCGAATACCAAACGAATATTCGGCGCATCTCTAATTATCACCTACGCTTATATTTTTATACCTAATTCATAATGTTCGAATGTGGTTTCGTTTTAATTGTTGATTAGTTGACTTATAATTTTACCGCCATTTCGGTTAGCGTGTAGGTATCAATGCTGTGGATAATAATAGAGTTTGTATGTATAGAGGTAGGAACTACATTTTAATGAAAATGAGCGAAACATCCGAAAATAGCAGTACTTTTTTTAAGGGGGGAAAATCATCGAATGTCAGATTCTTACTGACTAAAATCACCCCTTTCCTACTCCTTTCTGCTAGCTTTCTACTACTAAAATAGCAGTACCATCAGTGTTATTTCAATACTTCAACTGTCGTTTGTAAAGATTTTTTCCCAAATAGCCTGTCGTAAAAACTGCATATTGTGATGCGCATTCCTTCCAAACGGCTTTACCGTGAAAACCTTCAATCAATATGTTCCCATTTCGCCACAAATCCTTAATGATATAAAAATAAACATACAAAACAAAATCTAAAGAATATATATACCAATCACACGTCATACAGTATCACACCACTCAAATTATAACCAATCAGCAAATAATAATAGAATTTTTATGTAAAAAAATAAAATGGACTCACAACAACGTACCTACTTATTAAGAAAAACTAGTAAAAAATAATGCAAACTACAATATTATATTAAAGATCGGAAGGAAAATACGATATAGGTAATATCTCCACCCTATCCAATTAAACCTTATAAATGGTACCTAACATCGTATCTGTTGTAATAGGAAATCCCCAATCGGCAAAAAACATAATTTTCGTGTTAGTAATGAACATTTTGAAACGGAAAAGTCTCCAATTCTCAAACACCCAACAAAAGGCCAGTAACGCACTTGTACTTCCTTTGGTGTTGCGAGTGAACATGAGCCGCACCGATTGCTTTCCATTAGATCATCAGTCTGCTCTATTACCATCCTATGACCCTCCCTATATACACCAAAAAACTAAATAATACTATCGGTCTCAAATTCAACAGCGTAAGATAAGTACTTCGATAAAATCTCAGTAGTAGCACGGGGTCGGGAAATGTACCCGGTATAATTGGCAACAGGCTCACCCCCTATTTCATAGGACTCATAACATAAACAGTGTGTGTTACACTGTACAGTGGTATTAAGTGCCGTAATGTGCACCTCTGCCTACCCCTTCGATGATAAAAGGCACGATCTTATAGTATGTTATATGTAAGTACTTCGATAAGGCAATCGCATCTGTGATTGACCAACAGCATACAATACTATAAAATATGTACCATCTAAAGGTGACTTCAACATGACGTTCACGTCGACGTGTGATAAGCCACGTGTGCAATTAAGATAAGAAGTTAAAAAGGTCAGTGGACCACGTGAAGTCATGTCACTAGTATTACACTATGAGATTAGTAATCTAGATTACGATTAATATCAGTAATCATCCGTGACAATCAGGTTCAATAAGGTGATAGAGCATTAGTTGATTAGTGATTACCATTAGGTACCATGAGAGCTATGCATGTGGGAGTCTGACATAATTATAACTTACTAGCTGTTCCCGCACGATTTCACCCGCTGCTTAATTCCTAATGGTCGTAGTCCTAGTGTGATGTTGTATGGCCTATATAGCCTTCCTCGATAAATACAGTATTCAACACATAAATAATTATTCATAATAGACCAGTAGTTCCAGAGTTTGGCGCGTGACAGTATAAAATTGACCTTTCAGAATTTCTTTTGCAACAAGAACTTTTACCTAGTTTATGGTTAAACTATCAACCAAGAATGTGAATTGCCCTCCCTCAGAGTAGAAACTTAAATTAAATAAAACCTGCTAAACTTAAATGACCAACCGTCACATCCACAGCATCTCTAACAAAGACAACAAAACTATTTTCATTAATTCTTGGTCTAAAACTACGTTGGCCCCAATATCATCCCTAAGGAACCTAAGCTTAATAGGTATTCATCTTTTGTGCACAAATACACTTAAAATTAAATCAATAAACTAACAATTCAAATGTTATTCTTTTACAGAAATCGAACCACCTTTTCCCTGTCGAGATGTCAGCATTAAAAGGAGTACAGATGTCAATGAATTTTACGAAATGCTGTCCGAGATCGGCAGGTGAGTCCGCCATTACACTTTTACTTGTAGTAAGTGTTTGTTTAACACACGTCAAATGTTTAAATAGTGATTACCACGATAAGCTATCGCTATTGTAACAGATATGTCAATTCATATGTTAGTAAGTAGAAAGTACATATAAATAACAATGGATGTCTCAAGTGTTATCCTAATTTGTTTACAAATCCGATTTGACTTCATCTTGAATCTCATCGCTAGAAGATAATCGGTTCGTGACACAATAGCCTTGTTTTTGAAGTTGTTTCGAACATTTGTTGGTATTGTGATGGAGAATTCTATAAGAGAGTTATATCTACTTATGGAATATTTCATTCATTATTGTTCCCTAGCTCTTTATTATTTTATATTTTAATTAGTTTGGAATGATTCAGTAGTAATCAGTTAATCATTAAAGATTTAGAAGACAGGCTCGCTCTTAAAAGTAATTTACTATCGTGAACCAATGTTCTATCTATTCGGTGTTAATCGTAAATCTACATCGTAAATAGAGCAAGTGTCCAATGGCTGTAATTTTCTCAGAAATTATCTACTAATAATTTAAATACCTTGTTATTTTGGAGCATGGCACATTTATAACAAGACAATGCCAGTAGCTATCATGCGTAACTGCCCTATAATTAGATACTACAAAATTTTATTCTGTAAGGACTTTAAATTCAAATATAATTAGGTGGATACGCGTCTTTAATTTGAAAAAGGTTGTAAGCTATCTAATGCTATGAAAATGAATTGATTGAGGTACATTAAAATTGGTACCACCCTCTTTACACAGACCTCAGCACATAAACTATACAGCTGCTTAAAACTAGGCACTAAATTTGAAAACCAGCACCTTTTCATACCCTTTCTAGAAAAATAACCCGTCAGTCTCTTTTACACCTGATTGAGAAATTGATAGACGATGTTAGTTACGCAGTATTTCTTTATCTGAAAGGGTTTCTATTATATAATGGTTTCCTTTGTTAAAAGATGTACCGACTACATGTCAGTAATTTATTCCCTAACATTCGAATCTATTAGGAGCACTTTGTGGGTATCATTTCTTTCATAAATCTTCTTTACGGGTCTGTGGAAGTTCCTTTATGTTTAATCTCATTTATTTTGATTTCAAGATTCATTTTGACTTATTATTTTCTTATTGTATCATTTTTATTATAGAATCATGCATTTTTTTTTCATTTGTATCATATTATGTCTATTATATCAATTCCTTCTCCAGCCTCTGTTCTTTATTTATCTCTGAAACCTCGAATATGACTTATTCTTTTTCTTTCACACGGATTCCTCTAATTAAATTAACCAATGTTTTTGCTTCTTTCCAGGGGAAAATTCGGAACAGTATACCTCTGTCGCGAGAGAAGCACAGGATTGGAACTTGCTGCAAAACTTGTGTCCGTCAGCAGAAGAGATGAGAGACGGAACGTGGAACGTGAAGTGGACGTGATGAGGAGACTGCGACACCCGAGGCTCATACAGCTTTATGATGCTTACGAATGGGGGAAATACATGTGTGTGGTCCTCGAACTGTAAGTACCAATGCACTTGATGCACTCATGATAAAACAAGAATGTCCAAGAGACACTTCTGTAGCAAATGATAGCTACAAAATCTTGATTGCTAGAAGTGTTGAGCGGATATGAAACAATTTTCATATTCAATTACTCTTTAACTCGTCGAGTACCGGTTTTGTAGACACAATTATAGAACAATAGTTTGCGATCACCGGTGACCGCTTGGTGTTCGACAGTTTAATAATATCGTAGCTGATTTGAAAGTCAACAATGCCAAGAAATCTACCCACGGTAGCATCAAAACGTGGGATCCAACATGCGTGTGTATTTAATTTTATTCAATGACCTTTCTTTTAAATAAATGCAGAACGAAAATAACGAACTAATCAGAGAGTCACAGTACGCAGTCACACGACACGAATTTGCGGAAAAACTAGAGATGGAGTCAGTGTATCGTAGTTTCTGTCATCAATTTATTTGTATCGTTCGCCGTCCAAAGAGCTTGCTACAGGAATTTATTTCTGTGATGGATATTTATCATTACACATGTAGGTTGAGATTCGTTTGCACAAACATTCTCGTTGCATTTCGGTTTGCGTTCATTCAAACAGTAGCTTCGTGCTCCATGCATGAGTCACTGTTGCAAAAGCTGGACAATATCAGGTTATGTCTTACACCTAACGATGTAGGTTAAGGACGTCCGTAATTTTGACATACCGGAATTCTAGGCCATTTGTTTTCATTTATCACTGTTGCTGTACTTTACTTTGCATTATGTCTTGCTTCTCGTTTTTCGTCATTCCCCGACTCAATTTGTAACCATCTGTTCGCACTCTCTTTGTTTTAAAATTTTGAAGGGTTTGCTAATGTACCCAAAAATATGCACTCTTCTTTTGGCAAAATTTTACACCTACAGATGCACAAGTATAAACTTGACTTGACTGTCAATGGATATTTTATAAACACAACATCAAAAAGCCTGACTCTTGTTTGGCCGTCATCGCCTATAATTGGGATTTTTAATAGCGGTCTTTCCTTCTCTACTGGACGCAATCTATAATTAGTAATAGTGAATAATCCAGGTGTAATTAGGTCAGTCGTTGACAGCTTGAGTGTGCTGACAGGTGCAACGCCGCCCATTGCACATTAATTATGGAATTTTCACTCTTATACTGTGACGTCATTGTGATACATAATAACAACTTTGATCCACCTCATTGGCTACCAAGATGATCGTCGTAATTCAATTTTGATGTTATTTTAATAGATTTTATGACTAAGAATATAGTTTCCTAATTGATACATATTACTTTGGCGTTCCCAACATGGCTTCCAAGTGAAATCACAAGCTTATAACAGGAAAACATATGTCAAAATGCTTTCGTTTGAGATAGACATTTGAGTTTGTGTGTACATAACCTTTTTGTGTGCATACACGTAAATCAGATCAGTGACATGTCAAAAAGGTGAAAGTCAGACAAATGATGAGTCACAAGAAACTGTGTATTGCTTTGCTATTGGAAAGTAACACAAATGTACAGTTAAGTAAATACGAGACGGTTTTATTATCTTATGTGCCATGTTCTGCGGTCAATGTGAACACTGGAATTGCTGCAACAGGCGTTAGTCATCATTCGTTTTTTAAAAATGCCTTATTTTTAAAATTCCTAAGGAATATCCGTAATTTTCACGCTCGCGATTGCTAGACAATATATACAATATAAATTCATTCACCAATCTATGCTCCTAAGTATATGCAACTTTTAAGCAACAATCGTTCAATTTTAAAACAAATCTAATTTCAAAAAGAATACTCAACAATCTACAAATACTATGCTCGTAAATAAACAATCAATTAAAAATAAAATTCCAAAAAAGGATACAATAAAAAAGGATTAAACACTCAACCAGTTTAAATGGCCTCCCTATCTTGAATTTCGAATCCGAACCCTCCAATTAACTTATCTTGAATACCGTCTTTGTCTTCCTCTATGACGCATATCCTGATATAAAAGCGCGCCAAAGTGTAACCCGTAAATGGCGACGGCTACTCCACAGATACAGAATGAGTCGTGGCGTCAAACAGCGTCAGATGTTACGGCGCATAGTTGGCGCACGGCCACGCGACGCCATTCTATCAAACTGTAATAGGGTTGCTGTATTTCGATAAATAATTTGAAATTTATTTATTTTTAAGCAAGGCTTATGAATTTTATGATCATGTTGTCAAGTATGAGGTGAGGCAAAACATCGCTGAGAAACTATTGATTATATTTTTTTCTGTATCAATTGAAAATTTCACTGAACGATAGCAGTTTTATAAAGACCTATACTAACGATATCCTCATTTTAACCACAGTCTTGGTGAATCGGTTATATCTTTTTATTTTTGTCTACAACCCTATAATAGCCATTCAGCCAACCAGCAAATCGGTCGTCGTCCCCTCGTGTTGACATGTCTATTACATGCCTTACCTAGTCTTCCTGTCTCTTTAGTATCATTGCCAAATATTCATCTATCTTCACTTCTAACTCGTGATTCTACAAACTATAGGCTATTACTAATTACATAAGATTAATTTTGGCCACACACAGATATTTTTTTATTTATATAAATTGGCAACCCTGTGTCATGTGTATGCGTCCACAGAAAATGATTAACAATAAGACGAGGCAACACTTAAATAACTTTTTTATTTTATTTTTGTAATCTTATGACTTTTGGCTGACTCCTTATAAAACTGTTGAGCCAAGGCCCACTGAGACATCTGCAAATACTAATCTTATTTCTGAATCATATCACAACAAACATTTTTTTTCTTTTAATAAAGTTGACACGCCATCTAGGTTTGAGAATCTCTTATAAAAGTCGGTCTTGACGTTATAAATTAATGTTAAACAAATATAGAATTACCGATCACATTAACAACTCATGAGAAAGTAATTTTGCATAACTTTCTTCCGATATCCTTTTCTCGTATAGACAACACGAAACTAGAATGTAAACACAACTATCGATATTATGACATTGATTGATCGTCAAGTTATAGCCGCTAAGTTTGTTTATAAAATACATTAGTTACCTCATAATGACGTACGGCAAAAACCAACTTTCATACAATATTTATGTATCCAGCAACTCTTTAAACTGTTTACCTATCCGACCAACCAACACCGATAAGTTTGACGTCAAAACTGTTCAAGATACAACTAATAAACCCGAAAACCTTAAAGCCAGAACTATATCTATGACGTCACACCCGAAAAGCGAAAAATACTGGCCAGAATCAGCTGTTGACGTTTCTCCTCATTCAAATATTCTAAATTTAAATAGCCTACATAACATGGCTGACGTTACACGACAAAAGTAAACATAACGTATTGGTAAACGGAAAATTCGACGTCGATGTTCCGTGAATTGCGAATAGTCAAGTCAGGGTCATGCCGACAACAAAAAAATTACTAACGAGTCTGGAATGCGTGTTCTTATTATGGGTCAAGGAAACATTTTTGCCAGCCAGCCGGGTGGAGATAAATATTTACGTCCTTTACGACGCACCTTTTATCTGTAGTTTACCTTTAATCTTGCCAGATAATCAAATAATCCAGTAAAATTGCTATAAAGTTCGCCGTTTACGACTGAAAGACCCCTAAGTACAGAAATCGTGACATTTTGGACATAATATGGCTCTACTCATTTCTTTTGTCATTGAACTGTGTTTCTTTACCCAATCTTTACGATTTAGAGCACACAGCACTTGTTCAAATCAGAGTCCATTCGTGCAGCACCGTGTGTGAACATAAATACATAGTAATGAATGTCGTTGTTAAATTAATTTATTTCGACATGTTACAGTTTTTATAGCTTTCTTTGCAATGGTTATGTTACCACAACTAATATATTTTCATGAATCACAAATAGAATTAATACTGGTGACGCAAAAGTGCAACGGCAATGAAAAGAAATAATAGAGAAATATACTTATTTAAATAACAAAAATTAATAATGTAACAAATATTAAACAACACTAAGCTAAAAGTCGCGATAAAGCAACAATTCTAAAGCGAGCAGATTCGTTTCCATAACAAGAAATTGTATCAACAGCGTATCTCTTTCTTAAACATGATTAGGTAATTCTTTCATCAAACTGTCTACGATACTGAATACTTCCCATAAAAGAACGTGATCATTAATGTTTCTAAAATAACCCAAGATACGTGTATTATTTACAAAGCTGTTGATACCATACTCATCTGTGCATCACTCAAAGGTCAACTGAAAAAGAATGTCTGGGGCATTAAGTCCATCTGTACAAGTGTACACACATGTGTATATCTATTCTATGTATATCTAGTAAATATCTATTTAATAGTACCTATGTAATTCCTTTTTGTTGTCTTCCTTTCACGCATGAAAATCTCATTATGACAGCTCACACATAGGATCAAGTTAGTTTTAAGTCAAATTTCCGTTGTGCTTGGGGATTGGGCTTCTCCCAGTTGCACAGTCTCTTTTGTGCCTTTAAGCTTATCATTCTGTCTCCTGCATTAAATTCACTGAGGGATGTAGAAACTATCGTTTTCTTCTTCTCCTCTAATAATATCTTCTGAGTTATTCATGTATCTGGGACGCACTGAACATCAAGTGAAACCATGAAAACATGAAAACATGTTGTATCTACTGATCCTAGCTTATAGAAGTTACAGCAGTTTTAGGAGGTTGAGACGAGCTTGTCCCATAAGAAAAGAAAATCTCATTAATCTATCTCTAAAACCCATTCACTTAGGTACTGCTGAATCTTCATTCTGGTCTCATAACAGTCGAATATATATAAAACTCCTTACAGTATTTACGTTGGCTCCATTCAGCAACACGTGCATTGTTGCATGCTTCATTTCTGTCTAATATATTGTTTTGAAAACTGTTTGAAACCTGTCTATCTATCAGAATCGCAAAACAAATGGCTTTATTTATTGCATTTTTGAAAGCCGATCCATTAATGCAATGAAGTTTTTATTTTGCATGTGTTGTAAAGTCAAAGTAAGTTCATTGTACACGGTCGACATATGAACCAATTAGTTCGAAAATTTATGATGTTCAAATCTGGACTTTAACGAAAGTATGCCAAGTTGAAGTTTTAGTAAACGCTTCCAGGGAAATTGATTTTATTGCTCCGTCCGCATTTACGACTATTGTTTAATCTTATTGCGGTAAGAAACAAACCTTGTACCATCGACTTTAGTTCGTAGTACGATTATACGATGTCCTGATTTTGATCCTTATGTTAATAAAATATCTATATCGCTTTTAACAATATTAGTTTTTAAAGACATGGTTACAATAGCCTTGGTCCAAGTAACATTTGTAAAAAAATTGTCCGTGTCCTTACATCGCACACAAAGAGACTGTACTAAAATCAAGAACAGTTAGCCACTCGCCACTCACTCGACCAGCCTTTCCAACATTACAAAAGCACTATTAAACGTATTCCTACACGTGCATACTAAGGATGTGGTCGAAATAGTCGTGACCGACACACACGGATCTTGAAACACCATTTTAAAGTAAAAACGTTAACTCAGTAAAGGAAGATTACAGACTGGTTTTTGGTACAGGAATGCCGTTTCAAGAATGCATTAAGGCAGCTTAGGGCGATTTAATGGTCATTCTCAGTTCGAAATGTTTTGGGATTCAGACATGTCTCCCAAAAAAGAGATAATGATTGTCTTTTGACCAGTGTTGACGACCGCCAGGTCGGCATTGCCGGCCGTGAGCCTTTTCGTCTTAAAATCTTGTTTTAATTTGAAGATAAGGGGTATAAATATCTCCATAATCTATCCTCCTCAGTAACATATAACAATTTAAATCCAGTACGTCGATAAACACAAAATAAACGGCCTGACATCAACCTTCAACGCCTCTATTTGAGTTTATTTTGGCGCCAACGCACACGTCGATGCTAATTTCGATCATCTTATTTTTTTGGCAACCTTGCCCAAAGCACGGCTCAGCCGAGCAATCAGTATAGGTTCTCAAAATAATAAAAACAACGTATTTTTGTAGTAACATCTGTTTTAGCGAGACAGTTTTTGGTAAATACGTACCTACGCGTTAGAATTGTATATTTATTTATCTGTAGTTAGTTTATCTCATTATCTCATTTTGGTCGTTACGGAACATCAACACTGTTGAGTCTTCTTTGATGATTAAATTATAGAAAGGACGCGTATTATCTGAACACATGCCTCTAACGTATGACAATAATAGAGACCACGCGATTACATGGAACTAATAACATCACTGGTAAAAACTGAATATGCTAGTCACGAACTCTTTTGTCCACTCTTTTGAAATTGGTGGAAACGTGCAAAGTTTTATACTGTCCATTTTTCCCGATCGTGTTTCATTTGCAATCAATGCTGAGTCACACATAGCTCGAATTCTGTACCTTAGCCGTCGGTCATTCCGGCCTTGTGATAACATGCACTTTGTATTGATAGTGCATAAACATGCAGTTTCCATACATAGAGTGCACTCAATGTGCATTCTAAGTAATGAAGGTCTAATTTGGAAGAACTATCTTTGAACTTTTGCAATGCGGAACGCGGAACGTGGTGTCAGCGAATTGGGAGAGGTCCAGATGAGTCAGATGTATTCGAAATGACTAATTGACCTCTTGTGTGGTAGACGATATTTTTGATTGGTCTTAAAACAGGTACACTAGTAGATATATCTTTTGAAGTGGGTTTCCTTCTTGATGTTGTTTTATTCTTTGTACCGACCTGGCAGCCCATTGAACGCTTAAATTCCCCATTGTTGTATTATTGGTGTAACTAAATTAAATTAGGTGTGCTTTCGTCTACTCTTATTTAATACTGATTAAACTTATTTAACATTATTTCTTCTTTTCTCCTGCAAATGGTTTGGACTACATTATTTCAGTGCTTACTGTCGTAGATCTGGGATTACAGGAAGTCCAGTAGCTATTCGGTTGCCGATTTTCTCCCATTAAAAAAATACAAATTCAGACATCACCCTGTGCTCTGTACTACAAACAAAAATTTGTAACTGTTTTACGATGTTTTCAACGCCGGCTAATAGCTGCAATACTGGGCGTTTTGTTTGTCCATCCATAAAGTCGTAATTATGTTCACACCGATCCCAGAGTTGCCTTGGAATTACGTAGGTGGGTTTCTGTTTGTTCCACAGGATTTTGATGCTTAATGTCTTTGTGGATACGTAGTAAATTCTATAAACTTTGACTTGTTTACGTTGTCTTATTTGCAAGGAACTAAGGTACTAAACTTACCCTAATACGATCTGTATAATTTAATATCGGCTAATTATATCTTCATCAGTCATCCCTCTCATAATATATACCTCTATATATATACTTTTGTTTCGTTATGTATTTAAAACCTTCTTTTATTTATTATTTCAGCATAACAGGCGGTGAGTTGTTTGAGCGTGTCATTGATGAGGACTTCGTGCTGACAGAGCGAGCATGCACCGTGTTCATGCGACAGATATGTGAAGGCATCGAGTTCGTGCATCGGCAGAATATCCTGCATCTGGATATGAAGGTACGGTCGAGTTATAGATGCCAGTCGATAGTTTTCTAGCTAATGTAAGAATATAGATTGTAAATCAAATACACCGCTTACTGAAGTACGTAATTAATGTTCTTGAATTGATAATGTTTAGCGCTAAATCATTTAAAATAACGTGATGAACAGGAAGACAGTTTGAAAGATTAAGTAAACCGGTTTGGAGTAATTTACTACAAAAATACAATACTAAAATATCGAAAAAATACAAAATCGCTTCACCCTTGACTTGAACAATAAAATACAGACGTAATTCCGTTTGTACAAATAATAAAGTAAATAAAGAAACGATTACATTGTTCAGCTGTTGCTGTTGCGGTCCCGCCATTTTGGTCCGGTTCCAACTAATAAATCAAAATGGCGGAAAAAAGCGCGCGACTTTTATGATTACAAGCCAGTTTATTTGAAGATGTCGCTTTTGAATTTCGAATGTGTATTTCTGTCATCTGTCGGAAACGTTGCAGAAATGCTGTGAGCGTTTATATTTGACTAAAAACTCTTTGGCAATTTACGGCCTTTCGATGACTGTTTCATGCTTTATTTTGCCATTTTCAATTGCCTTGTTTACATGCTAGAGTTATGAAAGCAAATGTTCATAGATTACTGGCTATTCACATGGCTTATAGGCAGATATAACATTGAACTTAAATAAGTTTAGTAAATTAATTCGTTTGGTACTTAACATACTTACTTTGATAAATAAGGGTCATGCAATTGCCCTTTACACATCATGAAGTTTAATTTACCTAATAATCTCTCTTCACTCGATACGACCGTACCTATAGTAGGTATGCTCCATTTGTTATCGGCAAATACTAAATTTCATCTTTAACTTTTCAGCCAGAAAACATCCTCTGCCTAACAAAGCAGGGCAACCGCATCAAGATCATAGACTTCGGTCTAGCCAGGTTCTACGACCCGGAGAAGAAACTCCAAGTACTGTTTGGCACGCCTGAGTTTGTGGCACCAGAGGTTGTGAACTTCGATCAGATTGGCTATGGAACCGATATGTGGTCGGTTGGAGTCATCTGTTATGTTCTGTAAGTAGATTTTTTTTAATATCAATGTCTTGACGCCCTTTTTCTGCGAGGAAGTAGGGACAAGTGGACATTCATTCTTCGACAGTTCTAATATAATTCCCTTATCATATGGGACGAATATGACTGTTGTGATAATCGCAGCATCCATGTTGTTAATCCTGAGAATTTCTCAAAATTGCCTATCCGAGATCCTTACTCGGATTTTCGATTACAGATGTTAATGGTGTCCTGTGTATCTGGCTCGTTCTCTATTACATGGGACTCATAATGTAACTATAGAAAAGTGGGTGTTACTACGGTGTGTTGTTAATATTATATGTATTTAGGTACCTAATTCTCAATCCGTTTCGGGGAATTAAAGGCGTGATACTACTTAATATAGTAATTCGATCAATTCTATTTTTAACTTCATAGCGCAAGATTTCTAAGTAAAGAAGTCGTATTTATATCCTTATTCGTAATACGCACCTACCTAAATTAGGTAATATGTGTCTACCATATTTATAGTGTTTAACGTTTCTCATACTATGTATCTTGTGGCTTAGGATACTGAAAATTCGACGAACAAGAGATTTCGAGTTCACTACCCACTTTTTTGTTTCTAATTATGTCTGATCTACATATGCCAATAAATGTTACCTTATATAAAAATTAAAGCAGCAACGTTAAAAAAAATTCTATCTCTTTCTAGCCTATCAGGTCTTTCACCGTTCATGGGCGAGACAGACATAGAGACAATGGCTAACGTCACCGTCGCTAAATACGATTTCGACGATGAAGCTTTCAACGAGATCTCGGAAGACGCCAAGGACTTCATCCAGAAGTTGCTCGTCAAGGACAAAGAGTAAGTTCTGCCTGATATACTACCTTCTTGTTGTGATTTCAAGGGCAATAGGCCCTTTATGCTACGAACTCTTTGCAAAAAATCTTCATTTGCTAGATCTTCCCAAAGTCCTCTTTTCTTAAAGTTCACAATGGGCGCGAAAAGAGTTTTTGCAAAAAAGTTCTCCCTAAAAATAAGCCTGTCTGTACAAATAAAGAACTTCTTTAAGAACCTTAGTTCGCAAAGCGTGATAAAACCGATGAAAACCTGATATATCCTCGCAACCTTTCAACTCCGGTATGATCTCAGTCTCGCGGTTATTCTAAAGCTGTGTACATGCCAGCCTGACGATAAAGACCCCTTGTTACTCGTTTGATCCAACACTAGTAACTAACACTACATAAAACCTTGCACGAAGTAGTAGAATGCTCTAACTATAACATTAATTCTCTAACCTGTACATACTAGTTAAGTAGATGTAGATTAGAATGTATAAGTAGATCACCAGTAACTGTTCCTTCCTTCAAATTTGGCCCAAGATCTGGCACAAACTGTCCCACACAAGCTAATCTATTAATCCTTCCTATACTCCTTCCACACATGCACGCATTTCCTCTTAAATCCTTTTTGTCAAACCTGGGTCCTACCAACCACTAAGTCCCCAGTAGCGGTAGTGACTCCATCCCGTCCTGTAACTGTTGTGTCGGTGTTGGGCGCTAGTAACAAGGGTCTTTGTCGCAGGTCGCGGCCCAGCGCCACCGAGTGCCTCCGGCACGCGTGGCTGCAGCGCCGCGCGCCGCCCCCGCACGCCGCGCACAACGGACAGCTCCCCACACCGCACCCCGCACCGCGCACTCCCGTGCCTGAACCTAAGAACGCTCTCGACGTCGCCAAGGACAACCTGCGACTCTTCGTAGAGCGATGGAGTGAACACCCTAACTCACCATACGTATTCGATAACCAAGCGCATGAAATCACAAGCCTAGCAAACGGAAACTGTGAGAGATCCTCTATAGGAGGATGCTCGCCTTCTCCTAGAAGTTCCCTGAGCAGCTCCCCTGATGTAGTGTTTGATGAAGACGACTTGGAACCACCACCGCTAAGAGAACACAATTTCTTATCTGCACCCAAATACAATCCCGTAGAAAGGCGAGCCTCTGACAGCACTTGCTTCCTGCACAAAAAACAGGACGTACTCGTTAGGAAAAACTTAGCAGAAGAAATAAAGAAACTGTCTGACCACTTGTATATGTTGTCAACAATGAACACTGATCTCGCAAACAACAACAGTATGAAGGAACTAGACAAAAACATCACAGAAACAAAGTCAGTCAAAGAGGAGAAACTACCAAATGGTTTTAAGAAAGAAACAAGGTATACGAAGACTGTAACGAATGGCGACGCGTCAGGTAAGGAAAAGAAACTATTCACTTCAAAGTCAACCACAAAAATATCATCGACATTTTTAACGGAGAGGGAACCAGAGAAACCAATGACGAGTAAAATGCCCTGGGTGAAAACAAGTAGACCGAAACGAGTGACAAACCTGAGTAGAGACGTGCCGGACCAACCAGTAGACGTGCGGAACAGTTTCTTCCAGGAGTTCGACAGGAGACGAGAGAAGATAGACAAATTAGTGAATGGTTCAGATAACGGTCGACAAATGCCTTACAGAAGAGGAGATGAGAACAATGCGCATCGGACGAAAGACCTTCTTTTACATCTTTTGGAAAAATGGGGAGAGTCTGAGGAGGTGGAGGCAGAGAGGTCAGCTGGGGGCACTTCAAACGGAGGCAGACATCAGTCAATATCCCTTGAGTGGTCTCCCTCTAACCAGTTGGGTCAAACCTCAATGTCAAGCCTTCACGCATTCTTTCAAAGACAGACTTCAGATGAGAAGACGCAAAGGAAGAAAGTGACGACTAATGTAGCGAAATGATTGAAGTTGTGAGACTAAAGTGCCATGACACTATGTTACCAAAGTACGGTATGAGATTAGTTTATTTTCTTATAATATAAGCCTAGCGCATATACATGAACCTTGTTCTTACACAAACATATTTAGGGTCCTTAAACCAGTTTCATCAGCCAATGAGGGTAACCCGCTACCGGAACCACTAGTGAAACATAAGATCTTGTCCAATGGACTATTTGCAGCTGTCCAGCCATTGGTCCGTAAACTTTTGGCAGCTACAATGATTGGAGGAATATTACCATAGGCTTCGTTAACGCCACGTTATTCCTCATTGTATTTGAAAGTAAATGAATGAAAGTAAGACGGTTAGTAAGTGCCTATTGTGATTGAATGACGAAGTAAGTATACGCTCTTAAACATAACTTATGTACGTAAATATCATACGTACAAAATAAGACTAGTCGTTGAAAAAATCTTATCGTGGCAGCTTTTCATAGATAGGATGAATGTTATGATGTTTGCATACTGGCTTTTAAAAATGTTAACTTTTCTTTTTTTTTTCTTCAGATGATTTGATTTTCGAACGTTTTTACTAATATTTGTCAACATTTTTAAAAGGCAGTGTGATAGCACCCTTAGTCATAAACTGAAAAATCAAATTGCTAGTCTAAGACCAATTTTTGAAGTCAAAATTATTTAACCGGTCATTTGAGTGATTAATTCATAATAATATCCAATATATTTTTATTCTGAAGATTGTGAGCATAGAGAAAAAGTAATATCACCCAAAAAAAACTTCAGAAATAACGTCTATTTTACTTTATGGTTTTTAAAGGGTACAAAGTACTAAGAAAATTCGTTTATATGTATGCGCTAAGTCTTAAAAAGGCGATTTTAAATTAAAATGACAAATAATAAAAAGGGAAACTATCTAGTCTTCGAAATTTTGTAATTAAATACAGATTTTTAGACTCAAGACTGAGAGCGAATTACGTCGAGATACTTACTGAACACGTTTTGGTAATTTAAAACTTTTTTAATCTGTAAATAAGACATTTTTTTTAAAGTAGGTGGTAATAATATACTTAAATTATGATTGTTCCTTACTCTGTACTTATGTATAACTTAATTATAATTTATTGTTATTACGATACGTATGTTGTTAAATATAAGGCTTTATTAAAAGTTTTGATGTTTTATTTATGGTCTAAAGGCGAGGCGAGCTGAATGTAAGCATTTCCATCTGAGCGATTTGGGCCGAACCAAGTCCTATGTGGTTGTCTCAACTTGGCTATACAAAATTATAGTTATGCACTGCGGTAGAAATGAACCCTTAAAAAATACCACAATCCAGTAAGAAAGTCTGCATTCCAAGTCCATGGGTAACGTTAAAAACAACATTTTTGACTAGATGCTAGTGCAGCTAAAATTCCCTGCATTTGCAGATTCCAAGGGACGCCCTCGAAACTTGTCAAGTATTCCTGTAAGACACAAATACGAAACTATATAATCTGTGAATCTTATTATTTTATTGAAATCACTATCCCAACATTTAACTTTCCACAGCGACCGACTATCAGCGTCATCAACTCTAACGCATCCTTGGCTCATCCAATCAGCGCTTTGCACAGAACTGCACGTCACCAAATCGAAACTTAAAAGGTACGTGATCAAAAAGCGTTGGGCCAAAGCAGTGTCAGCTGTCATCGCACTCAAAAGAATGGGCGCCAAATTCGAAGACCACCATGATGAAAAAATCGAAGATAAAAATGGAGAAAATTAATTTTAATTGTGTAGTTTTTAGTTTGTTAGATACTGATTGGGCAGTGTTGTGTCTGTAAAAGGCGTTGTTTTGTGCCTTGATATATCTATGACTCGTTTACAAAGTAACATTCAAAACACTGTGGGGTTACGAACACAACATTAGTATGATTTTATAGAGGTAATAACTATCGTGAGACATACAAAATTGAGTAAAAACGCGGGTTACTCACGTGAATATACTGAGAAAAGCTCTACTAGTTAAGTACACGCGACCGCGCACGCTGCTCATGAGGAAGAACCCCTCTGTGTGTCTCTCTCGAAACTAGTAGAGCTTTTCTTAGTATATTCACGTGAGTAACCCGCGTTTTTACTTAACAACATTAGTATACCTACATACAGCAGGTCAACCCACCCCTTTCTGTTTTTCCTTATTTCAATACTATCGTTTATAAAGTCGAAAATACAATGGCAACAATTGTAGTAGGTTCATGTGCTGACCACTATACGTTGATCCAATCTATCAAGTCTTTCTTTAATCAATTTTTTTCTATATTTACAAAGATTTACCCTTTCCCTTGCCTCACATCAACAGCCTATAAGTGGCCACTGCTGACCATTGACCAAAGGCCTTGCACTGGTCAGCTGGCACGGAGAAGCCTTGAGCTTTAATCACCACGCTTGCTCAATGTGGGTTGGCGATTTCAAACTTATAATTAGAAAAATAAGCCCAGGTTTCCCCACGATTTTTTCCTTTACCGTTTGTCAGTGGTGTCTAGATAATCTTAGAAAGTACATATAACTCGGAAAAAGTCGCATTGGTACTTGCGGCTGGTAGGTTTCGAACCTGCGCCATTTTAGACCTCCGAGCCACCGCGACTAGACCCTTCAATTGCCTACTTTTCTTTATTTTAGGTGCAAATAAAACGACCTATTACCTAGATATATCTACCTAGTTTATAGCACACTATTCCTGTATGTACTATTATTAAGCCGAGGACACACTAGGGGACAAATGTCTCAGGACATGTATCGGCGACATATCGAGCGAAGCCGGCCGATGTCGCCTGACATATACCTACGGTGACAACGCGCAAATTATGTCCACAGTGACGTTCATGGTGGCCGACATGTCGACCAACGTCCAGCAACGAAGCGCTACTTCACCCGACGTCGCTGGCGCCACGTGTCGCATGACATTTGGCCCTAAGTGTATCCTTGGCTTTATCCTACTCTTTTCTATTTCGTATTACTAACACTAATGACGGACGTAATTTTTTACCTTCCTTTACAATGCGTCAGAGGCTTCGTTTAACATACTCGACCAAACACTGCCCGGTCTTTGACTAAAGTTAAGCTAGATATTTTGGGAAAGAATCGCACATATTTTGCAAAATACGCACATGAGTATAATAATCTTTCATAATAATTTTATTATTATAATTTTTATTGATCTTGGTGTATAATAATTACTATTAGATATTTTATTTTGTTATCAATAATTTAAAATCTATAGTCATGCCAGTTTTTATTCCGTTACTTGATTATTTCCGTTAATTTTTAATCTGTTGGTTCTTTTTTTTAAATAAGCACTTGTTGACGCGCTAGAGTTCAATGTTGTTTTAGTTTTAAAAAATAAATAGCAAAATAAACATTACTATGCATAATAAATTATATCTATAGCCTTAATGTCATGTTACTCAATACTTTGATAAAATAAAAAAATATTTTAAACAACTGTTTAATAAAATGACAATTGTCAATTTATAGTATTATTAATTAAACAAAATTCAGTATTAATAAGTCATTATTTGTTTTGGATCTATACGATGTACTTACAATTTTTTATTAAGCAAACATTTAAATGTTTTTTATACAACGAAACAAAGGTCTAATGTATAATGTTAATGGAAGGCCCACGTATACTAAAATCGTACAAAGATTTCAACGACTTTGAGACTTAGACCTTATTTGGAGTTTGGAGTTATTAAAAGTCTGACGTGGGTACAGCCTAAAAGTGTAATTTTATTATTGTACTTTGTACCTAGGTAATAAGTTTTTGAAGCTATTAGAGGCAGAAAACTAGTTTTTCATGACTAAAATGGTGCCAAAATATGTACTAACTGGTAACACTAGGTAAATGCAGTGCCTATAATAAAATAATAATATAATAAATGTATTCTAATAATCTCATTGAGATCTGTATATCAGAAGTATACACGTGTTAGTATTTTAAGTGATTAAGACTAAAATAACTTGCACAAATTTCGAAAAATAAGAGGACCTCCTCTGTGCATTGAGATGCCTAGAAAATAATTAAAAAAATATATTTATGTAAGTAAATAATGAAAGACATTAACTTCTAACATTACTTATAAGTTTTGTGCTAATTTTAAATAAGTATTAATTAATTTCAATCTCTCCATTAGATCTAACGGTTTCCGCCATATTTAATTTGTCAGCCATATTTAAATTTATGTCACTTTGACAGTTGAAATGCTACCAAAACATATTTTATTAAAATGTGAGACGTACGCATAGATGAACATCTATGGACGTACATACTTTATGTATTGCATTTAATGTTCCAAATAAATGACTATTATTAAAGACATTGGATTGTGAACGAAATTTTGAGTTTAAAATAAATAAATATTTCTTGTTGCATCTGATTTTTTATTTTTCTTCGAACCGCAGAAACTACCTAGCCTACCTACTAGAGAATAAGAAGAGACTACAATAACTACAAACTAAGAATAAAATATGAAAGTACATAAGTATGTAAAGAGCAACGTTTCGTGGGTTAAGTCCCGTTCGACACAATTTATCAGTGTGATCCATAATTGTTCAGGAACTGGGTGTGTCTATGAAGGAATTTGAAAGTGTTTGTATTTCCTACAATACAGGGACAATCCTAGTATAAGGGCAAGTAAAGAAAACTGCCGAATAGATCACACATCACACCATCACCATAAACATTCCCTCATCTGGCAGGGAAGTGCAAAATCTTTATGACTTCATACCACAATAAGAGATGTACCTATTATAAAGCGGGTAGAAAATATTCTTGAATGCCATGACACTCGTAAATGGAAAGCAGGTTCGGTATTTTTGCTTATCAGATGGCATTAGTGAGTAATGAGTACGTTATACTTCTTTGTCCAATAGTGAATTAACTAGCGTCACATCATTGCACGTTCAATTTATGACAGCTAGGTACAGTGATTGGACAAACTTTTTACATTAGCGCCATCTAGTGAGCATAAATAAAGCCCCCACTATGATATATAGGTATTATATCGTACCTTCGGTGCTATAACGTCACTTATGTATTGCATAGGCCCGCGCGCAACTGAACAATGAAACGTTTTTCTCCTAGTGCCGTCCAGATTAGTGCCAAAACCGTAACGACAGTAATGCCCTCACAATGTCAGTTTGCTTACTACACAAATGACAATAAATAACGCACCAAGTAAAGAGGTGAATTTGGAGTACTCTTTCATCAGTTAAGGTTTGACAAAAATTGCATAAGTGACGATATTGCACCGTAGGTGCGCTACGTAAAGAATAAGGTTTTCTTAATTTTTGAATTGATTACTTTGTCAAATAGTCTTTGGTTTTTTTAAACGCCAATAATATGACTTTTGCGTTAAAGAATTTATGAAAGAACTAGCAGCCCGTCCCGGCTTCGCACGGGGTAAACAATTTTTTTTTTTCAAAATGATATGTAGATGTAGCCTATGTCAAATTGGAAGAATGTAACATTCTATTGGTGAAAGAATTTTTTAAATCGACCCAATACTTTTTGAGCCTATTCATTACAGACATAAAAAAATAGGTACAAATCTTTCCTCTTTATAATATAGTATAGATAAAACATTAAATTTCGTTTTATAAGACTAAATCTTATAATTTAGAATGAAATAAAACTAATGTGTTGCTTTTTAAAATTAAGAAACGACATTTAATGTTTTATTCTTCCATAAATTCTTTGTACCTATATTTACCCGCCTTAAACTTGTCGATTTATTACCTTAGTTCATCAGTTTTTCTGGTAGGTACTTATAGAAAGTCGAGTGACATTCAAGAAATCTCCTACACCCACTTTTTATACACTTATTACTATACATGTTTTATACACGGGGAGTACCTTAGCAACCCATTAAGTCCTCCTGTCCGACTATTGTTATGAAGTCCTAGTATGAATTTTTGTTGAAACTGTTCAGTCTGTTATTTTGTTTAAAGTATGTAAGTACCTACATAATTAGGTACCCATTTTTTTAGTTGCATCTTTCAGGCAACATTATCAGCAATCTAAGAACTCATTTACAATGGGATAACCACTAGATAATTAGATATTCGGTTTGGCAAAGCTTAGTCCAGAAATGTCTGCAATTTCAAGTCGAGATAATAATATATTTAAATGTATCAACAAAATATCTGAACCTGTAATTTACACTTTCGTAGCGTTGCAAGCAGTAATTTTTGTTAATGGTTTTCTTTTAGACACTGGTGGTGCTAATTATCTTCTATAGCAATTGAGTTTCCACTATTTGAATAGTCGACTATTCTGCCAGAACAAAACTTATTTCATACAATCGAAAAAGGCGAGGTTGCTTCCCGAAGCTGTCAATGAGCCTTTCTAGATAAGTTTGAGGTTAGGAATATTCAAATCAAAATTAAAACAAAAGAAGAACTTTTTATATTTTTTTTTATTTTTATAAAGACGCAATGGTATCGCACTCCAGTAACCACAGCAATGTGATACCATTCCGCAGTACCAAAGATGGTATTAACGGTAAGATTTCTGGTAGCGGGCGCGGGCACCTGGACCACCGAACTTCTTGGGCTCGCAGCGACGGGGATCCGCCACCAGCAAACTCCTATCGTACTGGACGAGGATGTCTTTGATTTCCTTCTTTGACGCCTCGTCTACATCTGTAAACAAATTATAACAATTTGTTACTAAAAAGTTCTTTTACAACAACATTGTAACGGTAATTCTTAGAAATAATAAATGTAGTGTACATTTCAAACTAGCAAGTTATTGAAATACATTGCTGCTTGGTAAATGTCACATTGTTCTGCCCTCCCTGAAATGACTGAGTTGTATGGGAACAACACAGCTTTGGAAGAAGGGATAATAACTTATTTAGAATCAAGAATATTTTTATAAATGAAATATAAAAAATGTATAAGTCGACTGGAACTTAACAGTCATAAAGTTGAGTCTTTTATACAGTTTTCAGAGTACATTAGCATAACATCAGTTTGATAGAGAAACAACAAAATAATAAAAATTGAGGCATAACAAGACACCTATTCATATTGCCACCTAAAGACAGAAATATAGTAATAAATTGTAATTATGACTGTAATACTTACATTTCTGGTAGAAGGCAATAAGTGCCTTGGAGATAGCCTGTCTGATTGCGTATACCTGGGCTACATGACCACCACCCTTAACGGTTACTCTGATGTCAACTCCGGAGAATTTCTCCTGAAAAAACAAATACATTTCATTAGTACTTGTGGTGATTTAATAAGTTCAATAGTAATTCATATTTGAGAGAAATCAGATCCATTTTTTACTTCACATCCAAAGATGCTCAGGTTCGGAATAAGTGATATTCATCATTGAAACTTCTGCACAAAACTATCATTACTTTTGAAGTCCTTTAAACAGATACGAAAGTAATTAATTCAAATAAATAACTCGAAGATAAATACAAACTTAAATCACACAAACATTGACAATAAATGCAATAGTTTAAAAACTAGTTTAGATTTATGTTCTGGCAATGTGGTTGACTTGTTACTGAAACTATTGTTTATTGAGAAGAATTTGGTACTCATCACTCAACAAGCCTACATAAGTTTGTGAAGTAAAAATTATCACATTATTCCTAACAATTCAATTTAGCGTTTGTTCAAATCTTATTTACAAAATATTCACAAGATTTACTAATCATATCAAAAATGTTTACAATTCACCATCATTACAAATGTGGTTTTATCTAGTAGCAAAGAACATAAGATCAAATAAGTTCATAATAACATGAGTTAACCAAAGAAATGTGAAATATATATGTTACTAAGTCAAGTCAAATCAAGTTATAATAATAAATAGACAGAGAAAGTTTGCAAGATAATTGTCATGGTTCTGCATAATGTTGTTAGATAAATCCTTAAACAATTGCTATTTTATTTTGACAACAATTAATGCAATGAAGTAAACATGTTAGATAAAAAAAAACCACAGCTTGTGACAACTGGAAATACTAAACTATCCTTCTTATCCTTCTTTTAGTCTCTGAAATAGGGTAAATATATATGTAAAATGTACAAACCTTGCCGAGCAGTAGAATGGGCTCCTGCAATTTGTATTGCAGCAGGCGGGGCTCCACCAGGTCTAGGGGGCGACCGTTCACGCGCAACACTCCATGTCCGCGCTTACAATAAGCCACAGCCGTGGCGGTTTTCTGAAAACAACAATCTTATTAAAACTAGCCCTCAAGTCTTAGAAATCACTTCATACTTTTGGCCGTTATGATGTTTTTTGAGGTTATGTTCCATACAATAAACATAAAGAGTACACTGAATCGAATGCTGCATTGAAAATATAAAAGATCAAAAGTAAAATGATATTGATAGCACTGTTAAAACACACGATCTATAAAAGTTATCAATCTCAAGCACCGCCAATGCCGTGAAACATTTGGTGATGCATCATGTTAAAATTTACTTGAACACACTTCTCGTAGTAACAATGACATGTAGAACACATGTTTTAATCATTTTACACTGATTTTAACACTTTTAAACCATTTATATACGAAAATATACACAAAGAAACTAAAATTTTCACAAAAATCGGCACAAACACGTGGATGGAGGAAACACTAACCTTGCGGCCAAATACTTGGACGGCCTGGATAGGTTCACGACGCGCCTGAAAAACACATAAAACAATAATGAGAATCAAATCAATTTGGACAGTTTTGGTAAAGAAAATATAAGTAAAACAAAATTATTACAGAGCGCAAATCGTCACGCACCTCTTGGGGGGCAGCCATTTTGACAGAGAAAGACTGATAGAATGAACGATCAATAGTGTATCAACTAGGTGAATGAATGAATGAGAATGAATGACTAGAGTAGTGCGGCTAAAGTAACGGGTACGTCCAAAAACCAGAGAGATGACATTCTCGTCGAACTTAATGACACTGCTCCGCCACCTGGTGGCTGGTAGCTGTAATAGAAGTTGCAAATGTTTACCACTAGGTGGCGTGCGGGTAATTATTTACGCATATTAGCCACTAGATGGCGTTAAAACCACTAATACGCACCATCAAGCCACACGTCCACAGTGGGTGAGTCAACAAATCCATCACGCATAGCAGAGTGCCGCGCCAAGCTTGTTTTGTATTCGACGAACGTAATTGTTGGAGTGGAGTCGTGCGGAATGTACGACAGTAGCGCACGATCACGACAATGCGCCGCGAAAAATGTTAAGTTGCTAACATTCCCGCGCTAGTGCATTATAACTTGAAACAAAACAGTGTGAATTAGTTATTGTACGAGAGAAAATTGTGAATATTGTTTTGTTTATGTAATGAATAAACAGTTTTTGTGTGATAATTGAACTGGATTTATTGTGATTTACGTGTTTGAATAATTATTGAAAACTTGGAGGTAAGTAATAAAATTCCATAAATTCTATACCTATTTGATATAAACTCATGCGTAAACTAAACTTCAAATGAGATGAATACGCTCTCTAACACATTAGTAAAAACTACGTTAGATTTTTTGCAAGTGCAGTGTTAAATAAATACTACATACCCTCCCTTACAATTATGAGTAGTAACTTGCTGATGATAGTAAAAATAATTTAAATATCTACAAACCAAGTTTTACTTATCTTCGATTTAGTTACGTTTTAGATTTTCACTTTTCCGTAGACTTTTAATTACTTAGTATCAACCTATATTACCTAATTCTCGACCACCACCAATGAAGTATGCATAAATTATTTTGCTTAATAAGTTAATTTAATAAATTCTTGAGTAGTTGGTACCTATCTTTGAAAGTAGTTCCTATGACTTTATATCACTTGTCTTACATGTATCTAAATTAGATAATACTAGATTGAATTGAACGTGCTCCTTCAAATCCGTCATTAATTTATCCAAATAATGTTTTTATACATTTTAACACAAAATAAAGTAGGCTTAACTATACCCAAGTACTATTTCACCTATTCAACACCAATACTTAGTTACAAGAAGTGTCTACTTAGCGAGGTAAAAACTTATCGTCAACTTTTTGTTGACCCAGTGCGTCATAAAGTTTTATAAAGTGAGTCATTAACTAATGTTTGTTGTGAACTTGTGGCAAGTTGACGCGAGTATTGTACGACTTAGATATCCAGGAAAAAATAGTAAAATGGGAATTTATGTCAAATGTTTATTGGTAAAACCGTTGCGTACTTATACATTCATTTCATTGGAACGTCACAATAATAAGTTAATGTTTGTTTAATATGCTTCTCAACCATAGATATGATCAAATAATTCTGTGTTCTCAACTTTACACATTTCACTTTAAGCCCATATTTCATTTTCAAAATCATTATTATGGTCATGATTAGTTGTTCAAAGTAGTCGTACTGAAGTAAATTTGTTAGCCTGGAAATCACGCCCAGGTTAGAGATCAAAGGATAAAAAGCCATTAGTAGGTACACTCCAGATTTCCTAATTACCTCATCCAAACAAGAACAACGCTCCATGCGACGTGATAGAAAGGTAAACAACAACACCTTCGTATTTATTTTTATAACATTTAATTGTATCTACCTATGGATTTCAGTTCCGTTCCGTAACAAACAATGGCTATAGAAAATCGTCATGCATTCTAAAGATTAGAATGATTCCTGGTCAATGATTATTGTGAATTGTGTGAATCATGAATATTGTCTATTGGTTTCGATTATCATCAACGTTTATTTACACATTTATGGTGAGTGTTATTACAGCGACTCGTATTTATTTAATTACATTCTTTACAAAACCGGAATGGAAAAAACTATATCATAAACACGAAAGGCTACGATTCGAACTGTTACGATTTACGATTTGCATAATATTTGCATCTATTTAGTACTATTAACGAGCTGAACGAGCTCGTCTCAATTAACGCCCCCTATCGGCATTGCGTAACGTACGGCTAACCCAATAACATCCTAATAATGAATTATTCATTATCATAATGACATAACAATATAAGCACTTGTCATAATAAATTATAATAACCAGGTTTTAATGCGGTGTTTATCAAAAAACTTCACAGAGTCTCAGATATTTTGAAAGTGTTTCACACTGTAAGATTTATTTATGTATCTACTTCCGTTTTGTCAAACTTTAAGATATATTGTAACTATCGATTATACAACAGTCACCAATCTTTAATTAATAAATTAGACTCTCTTTTTTGAGAATGTTATTTAGAGAAGATTGTTTCTATATTGTCGCGAATTTTATCTACTAAAGAATACTTAACATAAAATCGTCAACATTTTCTTGGAATATTTCATTAAACAATTTTCTCATCGTACATACATACACACATTTAACGAGGTAACGAACATCTAAGTCTATTGCATAAACCGTATTTACAGTAACCTGCCAATGTATAGACATGAACCTATTTAATCCAAAAATGGATTAACAGTGACCGTATTACGTTAAGTGTGTGATCGACAGTTGGACAGGAAGCCGTACTACCGTAGCGGCATGAACCCGGTCACGGAACAGTTGTCCGATAAACTATATCTATGCTGCATCCGAACATTATCATTACTAATTTCCATAAAGTAGGCAGAAAACCCTAACTGATTTAAAAGAAAGAAAAACATTTAAAATAGACTAGTCATAGCTGGAGATACCTATACACGAGGCACCACTTATACAAATTTTCCACTGTCGTCGAACCAGGATAAATCCAAGATTGGTTGATTCATACACCGTGAAATTTAACTACATAATTATATAGTTTTCGCCCCGAAGTAAAATGGTTCTGTTCTGTAATTAATATAATAATAATAAGTAAATTTAAAACAAAACAAATTTACATCTAGTTCGTATCTCATGTGCGAAACATTTTATTAACTAATAAAAAGTGGCATCTATATTTTTTTTTGTTTTTACTTTATACATCGAAACTACTCCTTAAGGCAAGTTGTTTGCCGCGGGACGAACACGTAATCACGGTGTATAATTCCACTAAGGCACCAACACTGCTAAGCCTGATCGAGGGCAGTTCTTTACCATACCAAAAAGAGATCAACAATGCTATAAAACCCCTGCCGCTACTATGATGGTTAGTTTTCTAAAAGAAAGGAGAAGAGAGAATGAAACTGATAGCTCATAAGTCATAATGTTTCACTGATTTTAAAATCGAACATTAATTTTATTTAAGAGCTACTTCTTGCGTATAAAGAGTTAATTTATATCTCTGTGAATTTGTTAACAATAGCGGTTTATTTTATTATACGTAATTAATTAATGTCATGTTTGTAATAATTACAGCAGAGATGCAAGTTATAAGTCGTTACTTTTACTTGTTAATTCATTTTTGTTTTGTAATTAGATTAGTAGTAGTATTCGATCTTTACGTCTTTTAAATATCAATATTTTTTTAAATATTAAAAATAAATAAATAAATAAATAATAATATTTAATAAAAAACAATCTCACAAAAAAAATTAAAAATAGATTCTTGTTATTTGATCTCAAATAATTAAAGTTTGTATAAATACATACCTCATTAGATTGCCTCATTAGCCGAGTGGTCGCAAGTGCGACTACCGGGCAAGGGGTCTCGGGTTCGATTCCCGGGTCAGGCAAAGTATTACTGGGTTTTTTTTTAAATCTCAGTAGTAGCACGGTGTCTGGAACTGTGCCCGGTATATGGTAATACGCTCACCCGCTATTACATGGGACTCGAAACATAAATAGTGAAAAGTGGGTATTACATTGTACAATGGCTTTGTGCCGTAATGTACACTGCCTACCCCTTCGGGTATAAAAGGCGTGATGTTATGTTATGGTATATTATAAATACAATTAAGTAAGGAGACTATAATTCCTAAATGTCCTAATTTAAAAAAATAGTATAAGTCCATAGAAGAATTGAATATTATTTTGGGTAATAAATTCTCGTAGAATAAGCTACATAAGTAGGTACTTAATACCATTTTACAATTATACACATTACTCCAATATGGTTCTTCGCATAGATAGGTATTACTAGGAAACCTATAAATAAATTATCACAAGGAAAATTCAATAAATTACAAGCTATTGGTATTTACTGAGATTTATACAATAAACTTATATTATTACTACGTTAGTTTCCTTCACAATTTAATACATAACGATGACTTTACAACGACGACCAAAATTTGAGTATTTAAAACACAATGATAACACCAATGATAAGTCACAATGTCCTACAGTCGATTGTACACGACTTGCCATCAGCAACTCCGGCTATTTAGGATACTAAGTCCATAGTCACCAGCCCCAGCTTCAAAATCACTTGGAAAACCAACCATACCAACTGTAAAGCAGAGTATAAAATTAAATAAAACGGTTATGCAATAGCCTGCACATAGTTGATGTACTAGGGCTTCAAATAATGTAGTTAGTAGATTAGTGCAGAACGCACGCAACGAGTGAAGCCATAAGCATACTATCCCTTTGCAGATATCACACAGAATATTGTTCAACAAATGGTATTGAAGGAAATCTAATTGTTCGTGTAATTCAATTTACACAAATGACTATTGTTACACCTCGTTGGGCAACAACACGCTGTTTTGAACTTTGTGGTGACTAATTTAGTGAAGGTTATACTTTGAACTCGGTGGTCACAGCTTAAATGAGCATTAGACTTCCGTGCTTGACTGCGTGTAAAAACATGGAACCCTCTGGTCGTAGATAGGTAATTAGGTAACTACTTTACATTAACAACAGGCCATGGCATTGGACAGTCCCCTACTGTACTATAGGCCTTCTCTACTTAAGACTGCTTGGCACAATCTCCAATCAAGGCGACGCGCGGAGTGT